TTCTTTCTGTTTTGTTAGCCGGAATATCATCAGATTTTGAATCTTGAGATGATGTTGATTTGGGTAAACATTCAGTCACCTATATTTCCATGAAAGCTGGTTTTACGCGATCGATGCTTACATTCTCGTGTTTTCCTCCGCGCTCGACAGTGATGATTTTGCTTGTTCTGCTTATTACTTTGAATGGTCCGTCATAAGGTGGTTGAAGTGGTTTCCTTATACCGTCGTGTCGTATGAAAACATGCGTGCAATTTTCTAGTTTATCAGGCATGTGTGCTTGGTTGAGCCGATGTCGTGGCGGATGATATCTTAAAAGGCTCATATGTTGTCTCAATTGTTGCACAAAAGTAGTTTCGTCAGCTGGAACTTCACTGGCTGGGTTGAAATATTCTCCAGGTAGTCGTAAAGTAGTTCCATAAACTAATTCTGCTGGACAACATTTGATATCTTGTTTTATTGTCTAACGTATTCCAGGAAGTGGTAATTTATCGCCCCACTTATCATCGTCCTTCACTGCCATTAATGATGCTTTCAGTTGACGATGAAATCTCTCTACTAAGCCGTTTGAACTGGGATGATATGCAGTAGTACGTATACGTTTGATTCCCAGTAGTTCTGTGAGTTGTTGGAATACATGGCTTTCGAATTGGGCACCTCTGTCTGTAGTAATAATGCTGGGCACTCCGAAGTTGCAAATCCAATTTTGTGTGATGCTCTTTGCAACAGTTTCAGCAGAAATATCAGGTAAGGGACAAGCTACTGGCCATCTCGTAAATCTGTCAATACACGTTAAAATGCACGTAAAGCCATTAGATGGTGGTAACGGTCCAACGATGTCAATGTGTATGTGTTGGAACCTACCATCAGGTTCTGTAAAGTGGCCATTAGGTGAAACTGTATGTCGTTGTACTTTTGACTTTTGGCAGGCTAAACATGATCTGGTCCATTGTTTAATCTCACGATTCATATTCGGCCATACATATCGGTCACATCAGTTTAGCTGTTGCTCGGATGCCAGGGTGAGAAATGCCATGTATTTTGGAAAATATCTGAGCACCCACCGTGTTATGGAAAAAATCGTGGATGTGCGGAATTGGGTATCTATCTGCTATCGTCTGCTTATTTAAAGCTCGGTAATCTCCACATGGTCGTATCTCTGTTGAGTTTTTCTTTGGTACCATATGCAGTGGTGATGACCATGGGCTGTTTGACGGTCGTATTATTCCTAGATCCAATAATCTGTTGAACTCTGCTTTTGCTATTTGCATTTTAGCTGGATCTAAACGACGTGGTTTTGTTGAGACCGGTGGACCTTTAGTTACGATATGGTGTGTTACGCTGTGTTTGAGAGAGGCTGTGGAGTAATCGCTCTGTGTCAGTTCAGGAAATTTCGTATCTAGATAATTGATCTGTTGTGGCTACCATCAAGCGAATACCCTCGACATCTGATGAGATGCCTGAAATCGATATTTTACGACTGCTATCTATCAATCTGTGGTGACTAGAGTCGACTAGTAATTCGTAGTGTTGAAGAAAATCCATTCCAATGATAGGAAAATTTACGTCGGCGACTACGAACTCCCACTCAAGTGGTGTACTGCAACCAAAATTAAGTTTTTGTCTCCGAGTTCCAAACGTTTTTATGGTAGAATTGTTCGCAGCCTTGAGAACTAATGCTGGGTTTGGTTGTAAGCGTTCGTTGAGTGTTGTGGGAACTACACTAATTTCTGCACCGGTATCTACCAGGAATTGTGCCCCCGTTGTTTTGTCTGTCACCCTGAATAGACGGCTGTGGGACGTGTGTTGGCCAGCGACCGCAGTCGTCACCGACTGCCGGCCTTTTCGTTTCCCAACGCCACCGTTTGTTGGAAAGCACACGGTTGTGTGCACCGTTTTGCGTGTACACCAAATTTGCGATGATACCAGCATATAGTCTGTTGTAAGCTATATTTACGCATATTGTGTGAGTGGCTACGCTGTCTTCTGTACGTTGTGGTAGGTTGTCTATTAACCTTCATTGTCATTAATTGATCGGTGAGCACGTCGATTTTACGTTCTAAGGCTTCTATGCGTTCGTTTGACGTTTTGTCGACTTTGTGTTCTAGAGTCTGTATTCTATCGTGTGTGTCTGGTATTCTGCTAGTGGAAGCGACAGATTGAGGTGTTGACCTCTCGTACATGCAATCCGCGATTTCGGTGAGCTTTTCTATGTCAATGTCGTCGTCTCCGAAAGCAAGAACTTGCTGGATGTTAGCAGGAAGTCGTCGCAGCCAGATTTGGTAAAAGAGACGTTTATCGATTTCTCTTCCTGCAACTAGGCTTTGCATATGCCTCATGAGTTGCGATGGGGTTTTATCACCTAACTCAACATTGCTTAACAGGCGATCGAGTGCTTGCCTATCTGAAAGCGAAGTGCATCGAAGTACCTCTTCCTTCAACTTGTCGTGAGGCGCTTCTGTGCTGGGTTGAACCATGTATTGCCGTACCTGCTCGGCGACTTCGTCTGGCAGCACTGTACTCAAAATGCCAAATTTAGCTGTCTGTGACGTGAGCTTGTTGCTAGTCAAATAATGCTCTAGTCGTGCAAACCAAAGATGAGGGTCTCTGGGCTTAAAATCTGGTACAGTAAGAGAAACAGTACTAACAGATCCCAGCTCTAAGTTATCAGAGGTATTGGAAGACATGTTACAATTCGTAAAAATGGTTTAAGAGTTGCAAAATAGCAAAATTTGTGCACACGCAATTTACTGCAGGTTGTGCGATGAGATAGCACAAGAATGAGTTCGAAATGTCTAGTAAATATAGAGATCCACGAAAGTTAGAGTTTTATTAATCCCGCAAGTGTAACGATGCGTCCAGGTCAACAAGTTGTCGTCGGGCTCACCAATTGTTGTGCGTATACGTATGTCCACAACGTAATTCAAAAGGCACTTGCGGAGGAATACGATAGTGTATTATTGCAGCAATCAAAATTCAAAAATCGAGCGAGTACAAAAGTATCAATTGTTAACATGCAAGATTTAGAGTAATAAACAAATCGAAGTACAATTACACAATGAAAGTATAGTACGATGATGAGTAATAAAATGCGTCACTACAAGATTAACACCTGAGTTATTAAAATAACGAATCGACATATACACATCATTTTGTGTACATTTACTGTCCACTTGAACTCAAAAACATTAAATTGTTGGATAATATATTATTATGCAAATGCTAAAGTATAACTATCATAGTCAAGGCCATAGTGACCTTCGACAACCAATCGAAAATCCGAGGCGAAAAAGTAACATAATCGTTGAAAGATACAATAAAATATATCGCAAACTTTCTATTACACTGTATATTTGTAGCTGATGTGTTGTAAGAAAGCCTCCCAGTTAACGCAAAGATAATCTATAGAAAAATCGCAATCTAGCGGCTGGTAATTTGTGGCGGCCTAAAAACATATCAAATTATATGTTCACCGAAAAATAAGGAATCCAATGAAAATCGTGGTTGTTAGGTGAGATTGAAAAGAACTCAACCTTGGACCACGCTCAAGGAACGAATTGGTTGCCCTCTCTCCGGCGGCTTCCTCAGCACATCTGCCTACCAACTCTGTCTTGCACTGATTGACACATCCACATCACGAGCTTTGCTACTATCTGCTTTTCTCTACGCGGAGACCCCCGACGGTTGACAGCTCTAAGGTGTAGTGGAGGATTTGTATAATCAAGAAAAGGACAATTACATTCCTATAATTTCGTACGTCTATAATTTGTGTATTTTGTGACTATTATAGTTTTTCTTCAAATAACCTCAGTCCTTTTTGTGTATATTGTGTATATATCTTATATATACGTATTTGTTAGTACCTGTTCTATCCTTTTAATTGTGTGTATAGACTTACTCAGCTGCTAGGTCCACTACAAATTCGCCAGAATTATTAGCCACAGTATTCATCGCTGAAGATTGGATGCTGACCCCCATCTGTTCAGTCAATTTATTCAGCTTACGGTCAAGCATCCACGCCACTTGGTACGCCATCGTGTTCGTTCGTGCACGATCCCTAGCTAGTTAAGCAATCATCTCACACTCCGATTCGGTCCCGAAATATAATTCGTAATTTGGCCGATTAATTCTGCTGTTTTGCTTTGCCTTTGGTCTACGCAGAACGAATACTGTAGAAGTTGTAGGTATTAGATCTTAAGTTAGTATACTTCGTACTATCCATTAACGTCAACACCTTCAGCCTTTGAAGTACTATGCGCTGAATGGCCATTTATCTGTGTGACTCTATGTCATTGTACTTTAAGATCACGTGATCTTTCTGACACTATTCCCTATTGTAGCGGTAAATAATTCCCCAAAATTATTGACCACAGCAATTATCACTGAACATTGGATGCTGACCCCCACTGTTTAAGTCGACTTGTTTAGCTGAAGGCTTCAGGTCAAGCATCCTTGCCATTTGGTACTCCGTCGTGTCACGTGCGTGCACGATCACTAGCCAGCTAAGCATTCACTTCAGTCCACGATTTGGTCCCGAAATATATCTCGTACTTTGGACGACTAAATCTGGTCTTTTGCTTTATCTTCGGTACACGAGGAACGAATACTATAGAAGTTGTTGGTATAAGATCTTGCGTTAGTATACTCCGTACAATTCGCGAACGTCTATACCGTCAACCTCTAAAGATGTGAAGGATGATCCAAAGGGTAGTGCTTCAAAGTGCACTTATAGTAGTCGAATAGAACGTTTACCAATGAATTTTCTTTCCATGGAGAGTGCGTTACCCTCTATAGAAGCCTTTGCAATTATTTACGGTGTAGCGGTCAATGGAGACCCTTTAAAAGCTTTAATTCGCTCGAAATGTCACATATAAAAAGAGGAAACAATTCTGTGACTCATCCTGAAAGAAATTGAAAACCGTTTGTATTTCTTGATAATAGGAAAAATCTTAAATTAAATAGATGGATTGAAAAGGGGCAGGGAGCTGATTTGTTATACTGCACAAAGTGCGAAGACCTTGGCGTATATCAATGTTCTAGGTCATATGTCTTCGTGTTCGGATGATTTCGTTGACGCTGATGACTGTTCAACCGGTTCCTTTTCTCCAAAACCTGAGGAAATTAAGGGTTTTGATGCTTCCTCAGAAAACGACGAACGAGAAGTAAAGACAGAAGAGGAAAGAAAAAGAGAGGAAAACTCGTTAACTGACCTTGAAATTGAGGTTTGACTCTCTTATCATATAATATTTTAAGACACGACGTGATGACGCAGTGAAAATGAAAGATGAAGGAAACGTCCTTTTCAAATCTGCCTTATTCAGTGAAGCTTTGTCGAAGTATACAGAAGCTTTGGACCTTTGTCCTTTAAAATATTGTATTGAGCGTTCAGTCATATATGCTAACAGAGCTGCGTGTCATATAAAATTAGTGAGTTACATATTAAATTTCCACTGTTATGTGTTAGGCGTGTGTTTTTAATGTCATGGTCGTATCCATTTGAGCATGTTTTTTGACTTGTAGAAATGTAGTTGTCTTCTGGCGCTGGTGTAGTTCGTTCAGTGGTTATAAAGTCAACATAGCTTTAAACCATGCATCATAAATCCGAAGTCACTTAACATTCTGAAGGCTGTAAACGGTTCTCGTCACTTCTGGGTTAATTAATGATAGGATTCCCTACTGTATAATTCAATTCGCAAGGAACCTACTAAGTAAATTCAGGTTTGGGAATACGAACTCTTCTCTAATTGAATTTCTGTATACATCCGGACTTAACTATGTTGTTATCAAGATTGCGAAATTGTCACACGATGCCAGTTATCAACAATGAATGTTTGGCAATACCCTAGTAGATTTTCGTATTCTCAACTAATAAGTGAGAAGACATACAGTGGTATTGGAACGCGTATTCCAGCAGAGTGCGTTGAAGATATCTATGTTTCAGAACGCAGATAGTACCATGGGAACTTATGGCATAGCAGCATAAGGCAAGTAGTGTACGTTTGGTTGTTTGTCTTACTGATAGGTAATATTTAGGCAGTTAGAATTCTGGTTAATTGACTATATAGCTAGTCTATGGCCGAAACTTTGTCTGTATTGGACATGTGTGCAATAACCCATGTTTTCAGTCATGACTTGAACGAAAGCGTGTTCCAGCTTATAGGTTATTTTTACTAACTTCATTCAATCTAGTTTGGATAAAGGTGAAATATTGCTCTTTTTTTCGTTTGATTTGGGTCTCCATGCTAGTTAGTGAGCTTCCGTACTCAAAGAAGTTTACTGACAAAAGCACAGTTACAGCTTCCGTTCGCTTTTTTGTGGGTTTAAATTTGAAGGTAGCTCATCTCTCCAATTCGGTCAGTGTAGTCACATTGGGAAACAGTTTAGTTAATATCTTAAATGTTTAGTAGGAATTTAAACAGTTTGAATTGAAGGGTAATCAGTAATTATTTTTATTTTTGATTACAACTTGATTAATAAAGCGGTCATTATAAATAGTGATCCTTCCAAAACTGAAAAATCATTTATATAGTTTATAGATAAGCATAAAATGTATATTATTGACTCCTGCACCTGATATTCATCGGATCAAATCCAGCTCCTCCATTCTTGATCAATAAGAAGTATTATCAGATCCCATAGTCTATTTAAACTCAGTTAACGATAATTTATATCTTGAATACCAGAATATAAGCTACACGTTTGGCATGGAGGTGATGGTGCTACTTAGTTACCCTGATTATAGTAGGTGTAGCCAGATTCGAATGCGTAAATATATGCTAAAGGCCGAGTGCTTCAACCAATGAATCCCACGTAAAAAACATTCCAAATAACTGAATTCTAATGATAACTATAAAACTGATGTTCAAGTGTGATCTAAAATAAGTGGTTACAGGATTTTCATCATGAGCTGACATTAGTTAGAGAACCATTGGAAAACCTGGGAGTACTGGACAGCTGTTTCGTCCTAGTTTGGGACTCTTCTTCAGTACGCACCCACCGGGATTCGAACCCAGGACCTTAATGGTATACGAGCTCGCCTTGTAACCAGCCATTGATTCTTAGAGTCCCGAGGGCCCCAACCCGGAAGTCTGCATCTCCCTACCTGACTCAGTTTAACTGTCAGGGATTTCATGGATTGATGCCATAAAACATTATCAGGGCGAGGCGTATGCAAATAATAATAAGCTGTAACTAAACATAATAGTGCACTGAGTCAGATTCCTTTGCTCTTCAAAAGGAAGGGAAATCAAAAGGATGTTTGCGAGACTGGAAAAATAAATACTTTATAGTTGGTTGATTTGAATTTCATATAGAGAACGTCAAAAATTGCTACCTTTAACTTTCTACAACTTTCTGATTTTCTCTTCAATTCTATCGGATTCCCAGTCAATGTCACCAACATCTAACTGTTAGTTGCCGCATTGTAGTGTATTGTTTTTCAGAGAATTCTGCGCAGTAATCTTCGAATTTTACTTGCTGGTAATTGATGACATCTATTTTGTTATTCAGGGCGAAACCTATGAGTTATACATAGTTTAGATTTTTCTTTGGCTTGCTGTTTTACGTGTATCAAAGACTTATAACGTCACTGCTAACATAACTGGTAGAAGTTTTTTAAGAGTATGGTCACAGTGTAAGCTATTGTTTCGATTGTATTTACTTACAGGATTCTCCAGAGGCTGCACTTCTGGATTGCAATGAATCGCTGAATTTGCAACCAGATTATGTTAAGTGCTTGGAGCGACGCGCTACTCTGTTGGAAAGCAAGGATAGATTAACCGATGCATTGGAAGATTATGAAAAGCTCTTACGACTAGACCCCAACAATCAACGGGCTCGTTATGCATGTGCTGTAAGCTCGCTTGGCATTGTAGTGTTTCTGTATCAGCCATTTTTATATATCTAGGTTAATTAATTTGTTAACTTTTTTACCTAACAGTTAATTTGTTATATATTTAATCATCTTTGTTGATAAATATGCGAATCGTTCCTCATAGCACCTAAATTACATATATTCAATGATAGTTATGTATTAACAATATCTAGATGTCATTTCGATGTCTCCTTTAGAGATTTAATAACTTCACCTTCAATGCGAAGTTGTTTTAGCTCCAATGAACTGGTTGCTGATGGTATACAAATGGTTTGTTAGGAATGGTTAATGATTTGTGGAGATGTAGCTCATTAGTTGAAGTACTTGACTATCAGCCGACGGTCACCGGTCCGAATTCCTCTAAACTTAGTTCAACCTGGGCAATTGGTCGGTACTTTCACTCCTCACACACTAATAATAGATCGTAATCTGGGTGCATGAAAATTATATTCTAGATAACTGAGTCCTAGCGCCCTCAAAATGATCAGAATTGGAGTTTGAAGACTTAATAGCATGTCACAAAGTCATTCTCGGTTTTGCGAATGTATTCTCTTTATAAACCAATTTTCTTATAAAATAAACTGAGTCCAGATTTTAAGTAAAATGGTTGTGTGATATTTATTTTATTCACAATTTTGAATGCGCTTTTGATCGAATTGTGTTTACCTAAAACAGCCCTAAATATGGTCTTTTTTGCTATTGAGATTATTGCTTTTAAGACACATCTCCCAAGAAGACACTAACTAGGGATGCTAGACCTCAGTCTTTTTTAGTGCACAGTTCCCACGATTCCATCGGATATCTAGTCTAAGGATTGTATTGAGAAAGATACATCACCATCGTCACCTACTGGTAAGGCTGGAAGTCAATGGTTTACGTCTTTTGAGACTTTCGTCTGTTTGGGAAATAGTACGACTTTCATCTTTTTTTACCATAGAATTTTAGGATGTAGATCATGAGATAACGACTCTAGTACTCGTATGTTAACTTTCAACATATATGTACCGTACACGAGTACGGACAGTTCAGCGTAATACGACAATGTACCACTTGGGGTAGCTATTTGATCAAATGCTTCTATATTAGCCACCAGTACACTGAAACAACTCCAATTCCAATAAAGTATAATTATATTTCAATAGTTCACACACAATGATAAGTTTTGTTATTGGTAATATTTCGAGCAAAATTACCAATAACAAAACTTATCACTGTGTGTAAACTGTGGAAATATAATTATATTTTATTTGATCTAATCCACAATGCTCGAACTTTTTACTGACATTAACTCCAATTCCATTTGTTGACAGAGCTGTAGGTTATTCATTTTATTATTAATTCGCTGCCACAGGAGTATGATTTCTATGGATTTATGATTTATGGATTCGAATATAAAGAAGCTGCAGAGTAATATATCCCACATTGGTTGTGCATATGAATGCCTCCACATATGGTTACTGGTCCACCCATATATACCATAGTCAAGTTAGAACAACATACTTTTGATGTGATAGAACTTTAGAACAACAAACCGGATTTTAGCTTTACACGAAGTACTTAAAGGGATAAAATTCAGTAGTATTGTAACAACAGAAGACAAGGGCCAGGCAACAGAACGTTTATTACGGAAAATCAACACATATTTATAGATTTTGATGTACATTATTGTAGGTTAATGTTAGTAGAAAATACAGTCTGTTGATTGGTTGTTTCTCACACAAAGTTAACCTTGCATCTCTTGTGGCTGTGTCAGTTCATCTATATGTTAACTGTATCCGCCTGTCCATCTTGATCTTGACCTCAATTACTGTCAACCAATTGGCCAGTAGACAGCTCTCACCACAGTATGACTGTCCAACACAAATACTTAGTAGAAATTTGTCTGATAGACTAGAGTGGAATCGAATGGTTTTATGCCAGGTATGTCAAAAACAATATCACTCTTTTTGGTTTTCAAACGACTTTTTGTTTTGCTTCTTCCTAGACTTTGCCGGAGCGCATTAAAATTCAGAATGAGAAAATGAAGGAAGAAATGTTAGGGCAATTAAAGCAGTTGGGTAATCTTATATTAAAACCTTTTGGTTTATCAACAAATAATTTCAAAGTACAAAAGAATCCTGATTCTGAAGGTTATTCCATAAATTTTGTTCAAAATGCTCCTACCTCATCTCAGTGATGACTTGTGAATGTGTGTGTTCTGTTAATTTTATTGTATCTTCATATGTTACCAATTTGCCGATAACTGTGACGTCTTTTTTGTATTTATTACCTGCCTATTGACTTATATGAAATTAACCTTCCAAGTTTGTTAACCCAAATGCGTTTTGGTACTTTATTCTTTGCCACGAAGATTCGAAATACATATTTACATGACATATAAGCTTCAACTTTCAGTTCTCAGAGAAGTGGGTAATGTCTGTTTGTTTTCATTGCATTTTCTGTTTTCGAAACCACGTGAGTAGGCTCCTATGATAATGTCAACCATTTAAAAAAACAATCGGAATGTTTTGGAAAACTTTGAGGTACTGTCAGTATGCCCTCATAAAATAATTATGTCACAGTATTGTGACTAATAAGCACTTTGCAGTTTTCCATCAATGGCTTACTCGATTTCTAGTAAAAAGAGTGTGGATTCATTCGGTATATTTCAAATGCTGAGTCAGCCTGCTAAGTTAATTGATTTTATTTCCAGAACAATCTACTTGTACTATTTTCTCCAACTTTGTCTTGGGGGAAAATGTCAGATACCAAGGTAGGGTGACAACAGTCTCAAACAAACGCAGACAACTCTCACTTCGACTATAATCTCCTATAGAAACACCAGCCAGGGAATAAATCAACGGAAATATTGAATATCGATAGAAACAGTCTAAGGACATAACAGATATTTCAGTCCCCAATACCAATAACTGCGTAAAACACTACATCAATCATTCCCTTCACAAAATTCATCGTTATATATACTTCACATCCATTAACAAGCAAACAAAACAAAGCATAAGCCAGCGACCCTTCACCGAATAACTCCCCATTCATTCTCCAATTTCCTCCTCGTGCAACACAAAATGGAGTTTTACATTAAATGTATGTATCTCACTCGACGGATGTACTGCTTTGCTTCCATTATGGTGCAGGTTTTCTCAAGTGATTCTATTGTGATTTGACTGATATTTCCCTCCTGAGTGTCTGGGTATGTGGTTTTGTGCAAGGACTCCACAGTCGCTGAGTGTTGTGTCAGGGACTGCTCATCACCTTGTGAGATGAGTTTGCGTCTGTGGTGTTGTGAGCTCTGTGAAGGAGTGAATTCTCAGTGACACACAAAGACATCGTGCTCGTATGTGTGTTGAAGTGGTGTGTGTGTGTGTGGCGGAGTTTGTTTCATTTGCGTGGAGTGTGTGCGTGCGTGTTAGCAATGAGGTATTAGTTGATTGTGCATAGTACTTGTGTGATTAGATAGAGTGATTGGTATGTGAGATGTATTGTGTAATGAATGACAATTGGTGAATGGTTATTGAGACTTCAGTTTTCGGTTGTGGGCTGGTGTGTGTTATTGGTTAGTGGAGATATTTGGCGGATTAGTGATAGGGTGTGTGGTTTATTTGGTGTGGACTAATCGGTTATGTGTTCGCGTTTGAGTATAGATGTGCGGAGTGTATCCTGGATTTCAGTTTGTTGATGTGGAGTGTTTGTGTGGTGGATAATGGGAGGGATTGGAGAGCGCGTTGAAAACTTTTCCACTGTCTGTGTGAGTTGTGTTGATGGGTTGACTTGAGCGTGTATGTGTATCTGCGTGTTTGTGCTGTGCTATCAGTATAATGTTTGGCGCTGGTGTTGAGTTAGGCGGTGAAGCGTGTTAGTTTTGTTGATGGATGTTGTATTTGGCGGCTGCAATTGTGTGTGAGTTTCAGTGTCAGGGCGACTGTGTGTGTGGTTAGAGTATTGTTGGGATGGTAGTTGATGGTTTTGTTCCTGAATGTTGGTTGTATTTCGCGTCTCGCTGAAGTAGACGTTCGGAGGTGTGATGTTGATCTTGAGCGTAATAGTGTTTGTTGTAGGTGGGTGAAGTGTGTCATGTTGTTGTTGTTTCTGTTCTTGTTGATGGTGGTGTTTGACGAGGTTGTATGTTGTTGGTGATGCTTTCATTGTTGTGGTAGTTGTTTGTGCTTCTGTTTGTTATTTATGTCTTGAGTGAGGTGGCCCCACCCATTCGTGGTGAGATGGATCAGTGAGTGTTGTGTATGTGTGTGTGCCTTGATGTGTTGTTGTTTGTGATTATCTTTGATTTTTTTGTTTTCTTCATGCGTTAAAGTTAATTATTTATTTTTTGTTTTGTTTCATTGCGTTTTTTTGTTGAGTTAATATATTTTTGGTTGAATTACGGTTATTTTTTTTATTCGGATGTTCTGTACCGTATGAACGAGTTTGTAAATTTCCCCTCATTGTGGATGTACTACCAAATACAGCTACTTTTCACGGTATGACCATTTAAATGTATCGTTTTCGGCAATGGACCGTATGTGAATTATTTACGTCGGTTGTGTCATGAATATCCATACTTTCTTCAGCTCCATCAACTTCTATTTCTACTTCACGTTCAAATTGTGCAAAACCTTTAACTCACTAACATTAGGCATTGTATTCTTTTCATCGTGATCAGCTGAGGACAAATGTTCATCATCATGATCACAGATGTCCACTTTGTTGTCGATTGTGCAATCGGGTTCATCAGTTGCATTAATAATAGCAATAGATGACCTTAACGTTTCATTGTTAATCTCTTAAGGAGTTTTTATAATCTCAGCTTTGACTAGTAATATTTTGTAAGGTTGTGGAATCAGAACTGCGCTCTGAGGTTGCAACCTTCTGCGTAGATTTAGGTGTCTTATATAGCACAACACACTCAACAACGGCTTATGAGCCTGAACTACAAGCTTTTCCGCTGCACCAGCATCTCCATCATTAAAAGAATTTGAGTCGGAACTCGATGACGCTGACTTTCCAACCGATGATCCCACACGTTGTATAAAGCGTTGTTCAAGGATAAACCATTATGCCTTGCAGTGCAGTCGAACACTACATGCAGTTTACCGAGGTTTTTTGGGTTGTGAGGTAGATGTCACCTTCCTGGTTAGCCTTGATTTATCACTCTTTATGCGCCTAACATTTTGACATCCTTGTATTAAATCCACAGATTTGAATCTAGTAAAAGCCCCTTTGTTAGACTCATAAGTCGCTTAAATGCAACATTGAGGTTACAAATCAGTCGGTCATCCTTATGTTTCCACGGTAGTCTATATATGTACGGTAACCCTTTCTCAAACATTAACACTATCACAGATCTTGGGATAACATAATCAGATCTAACCCTTTCTGATCGTGCAAATAAAGTAGTATCTGACTGTAAACGCCTTCCTGCCCTCGTTCTGAGTAAGCTTTAAACTCAAGAAGCAAGATTAGCTTTATATAAGACATGTATTCACCCCGAACATGAATGATGTGCTCTCCTTTATAGTATAAATATGCAGGAAGAAATGGAAGTGGATTGGCCATCCTCTGAAAAAACCATAAGGTGACATCACATGCCAGGCCATTGCTCGAGTGGACCCGAATAGGAAGCGGCGAGTTGGTCGTCAGTGTGAGGGTGACATGGAGGAGGTCATGTGAAGAGGAGACGAAAACATTTGGGCAGACGTGAAGCCAGGTGAAAACGCTGGCAGAGAACCGAACGAAATGGAGACGTGCGGCTGAAGTCCTATGTTCCTCTAGGAATTAAAGGAAACAATAATAATAAGTAGAATGCAGACAAGGGGATGCTCGACTACACTAACAGAGGATGTCATCAATACAAGTGTGACAGTTATCCGAAGAAAATTATATATTCGAGTAGGTCGGAGCAGATTTACTCGGACATTTTGTGGCAAAGAGGACAAGAAGCTCATATAAGAGATATGGTTGTATATTTACTTGCTTGGATGTGAAAGCAATGCATATTGAGATGGTACACACATCAAACATTACTACTACTAAATACACCTGAAATATGACAACACCAAATCCTGACTCCTCAGCTTAGGTCAACTAACTTTATGTGCAAGCTGTTCTTAACACTACATTAACTAGTGTCGGGAGAACGTAACTCCTACGACTGTTCAAGGATGTATCTGTTAAACAGTGGTATGAAGAGAGTACGGAAATAGAGAATCACAGCACAATACACAGATGCATTCTTTGAAAATCCCACTGTCTACAACGTGATCAAGTTAGCATAGATAAGCAAATTGAACGTTAAAGTCGAAATGGCTGAGATTCAATTGATATGAAAAACGGTTTTCGTCACCTACATTACTCCTCCACCAGAATCAATTGGGATTAATCCGATTCAATGAACGAAATATTCCCATATTGAGTCATAAGAAAAGGCACAAACAGCGAAGAAAATTTTCTTTTCGACGATTCATTTTCATGAGCTGTACAATTCAGTCATAACACCGGAGGTTTATGAGCAAATAAAACCTTGCAGTTCAACTATTCCAAGACTGTATGGACTGCCTAAAGTGCACAAGGAGAATGTCCCACTTCGACCGGTCATAGACATGGTTAACTCACCATATCATCAAATCGCGAAGTGGCTAGCTGATATCCTCGAACCAGTTCAAAGACATATGACAAAATATAGCCTCAGAGATACATTTGACTTCATCGACTCAGTGAAGGATGTCAACGTGTCTGAAAGACAAATGATCTCACTAGATGTCGTCTCTCTATTCACAAGCATCCCCCTAACTGAAACAATATGCTTCATTTGTGATTACATCGAGACCAACAACCTAGAAGTTCCTCTCCCAATAAACTACCTGAAGGAACTTCTTCTCAGATGTACGTTCAATATCCAGTTCAAATTCAATGAAAGGTTCTATGTACAGAAAGATGGAGTAGCTATGGGGTCTCCTCTCGGTCCACTCCTAGCCGACTGCTTCATGGCAAGTCTGGAAAACAACATCCTCAATCCCTTGATAAGTCAACTGCACTTATACAAGAGATACGTAGATGACACGTTTATAATCTGTGATGAAAATTGTGATTTAGATTCTCTCCTTAAAACCTTCAACGCAGCGCATCCATCAATAAGTTTCACCTTAGAAAGAGAATCGAACAACACATTTCCATTCCTTGATGTACTACTCACCAGACGACACGACTGTACGATCCAAAGATCAATATACCGCAAGCCGACATGGACTGGACAGTTTATCAACTTTCAGAGCTTCGTCCCACTAATCCGAAAGAGAAACCTGATACGTACGTTGAGCTCAAGGATTAGAAAAATCTGCTCGGAAGACATGGTGGAGAATGAATTAAATTTATTACGTAAAATCCTACTAGAGAATGGATATCCACCAAGATTTATTGACAAAAACATGAAGGAGAAGCCTCCGATGTCAAACATCGCAACGGTTCCTAAGAAGACTCTCTTCATGAACCTAGAATTCAAAGGTGATGTCGCAGCGGAAATTCTCAGAAACCGCCTTTCTAAATGTCTGAAGAAGACATTTCCAACAGCCACTCTACGTATCACATTCTCCTGCAGACAGTTAATCCAGTCTAACGCTAAGGACAAGATACCGCTTTTGGCCACCTCAATGTGTATTTATCAATTTACTTGCTCGTGTGGAGCAAAGTATATTGGCCGTACGCAACGTCAAGTCCAAAAACGTATTCTGGAACACTGCCCCGCTTGGTTGGCCAGAGGAGAAAAGAAGAATAGCAACAGCTCGATCCTCGAACACCTTGTCATCTCTGGACATCGAGCACCCCCACATGAATGCTTCACAGTGTTACACAGAGTCCCTCAATATCGTACAAAGGGACTTCGGACTCGCCATCTTTACATAGCTGAAGCATTAGCTATTCGAGATCTAAAACCGGACCTCTGCATACAAAAGCGATACATACATTCTCTTGCCTTACCATGGCCAGAGTAAAGTTCTTATCACAATTTTGCTTCTTTCCTTTATTATGTAAGTTCACTATTATTACCATTATTATTATTTTATTTTATTAATACTTTTATTATCATTTTGTCCCCATCATCCACATTTTATTACCACTCTATTACTGTTTATTAATAACATTGTTTTCCATACATATTTTATACAAAAACACTTTATAGCCTTCCCACTAGTTCCTGTCCATTTTACACGAGATTATTGATTATTCACTATCTCACACTTATTACGTCATGCCAACTTCTGTCTCCTTTCTAACTTACAATTAGTCATCCCTTCTTACACCTTACATTATGTAATACAATTTTCTAAGGACAAAATTTACCAGTATCTGATTGGTCTAAAGATTTCTTTGTTAATTATAATTACGATTGTACAGCTCATGAAAATGAATCGTCGAAAAGAAAATTTTCTTCGCTGTTTGTGCCTTTTCTTATTAATCCGATTCACTGGAAGAAGTTACTGCGTGTAGGAGGACCGTGAAGAACCTGTAACATTCGTTGCGTATTGTGAAACTGGAACAGAAAGCAGAAGGACATCAGAAACTGGCCGAGGGAGAGAGTTTATTTCTATTGGGTAATTAGAAGTAATAATAGCACGACAAACAGCTCAGGGTTTGGTAAAAGTAGTGGGAAGATAGGCTGATATATCGTGACATCCAAATGTTCAAAACTCCTTGAAGTGTGAAGGTCATCAAATGGACATGGACATATCTTCAATCGATCGAAATGTTACTGTTTACGGTGCAGTTGAACATGAGTGTTTCCGGTGGGAATTTAACACCTAACTCATAATCGAAGGGACAAAATTATTTTTAACATCTCGTTTAGGTACTACTGAGTAGAACTACTAGTTGTATCATGAATCGGACATATGTGTAACCACGAGAGAAGAACTTCTAACTCGGTGCCCCTTCGTATCACGTGATTCATTTGTATACAGTGACGGTTTGATGCTGCTGAAGACTGAACGTTGGTAAATTAAGAGTGACAGAAGTTGTTACCACCGGCGATATTGGGTAGTTGTAAAGTGACTTAAGTTTGTATGTCTGCAATACACACCAGCAATTACTTGATAATAAACTGGCCTGGACAAATTCAGAATCAGCCTATCAGGTCGCTGTTGGATGTGGAATAAATATATGGACGAGAGTGTGTAGTAAACATCATAACTCGTGATTGTTTCGTTAGACAATGCCCATGATGGTTTATATCAGTGGCATCGTCACTGGAGATGAATTAGTTTATGAGGCGTTCCTTGATCGAAGCATTTAGTAGCTAGCACAACTCCACGAATAGGTAGATATGGTCATTTAGGCTAACGAGATTAAGAAACAGTTGAAGATATATGATGTGCCGACGACAAATGCCAAACATCAAAATATAACCTCGCCATTAAATTATTCTTTACCGGAAGGTTCCGAATATTTAGACTTGCGCATGTGACTTCCAAACATGGCCCAATCACTTGTGGTGTATTTCAAGGTAGCGTCATAGGTCTCTCCCATTTACACTATATGTCAATGACATATGTTGTTGTGCAGAATGAATTAGATGAAGTGACTGCGTGGTCATCTTTACGGATTCTACAACTCAATCTGAACAAATGTGGTTGGATCTGCTTCGGCGCACCCTCAATCGACATAAAATTGACGCTTCAATCTGCTAATCTACCTGGACTTCAAAGTATCGTTGACTTGAGATTCAGATACTCTAGTGACCTAACATTTTCTGAGCAAGTGGCATCGCAGACTCAAAAGTCGAGGATACTCTTTGGATGCATAGCCAGAGACTTTCACTACATTGAAGCCAACCTCATACTATGCAAAACGTGTGTTAGACCACCATTAGAATACTGTCCATTTATTATTAGCAGCACTCGCATATATGACAAGCTGAGAGTGGAAAGCATCCAGTGACATTTCAGGCCCAATCTACTTGAATATGATTGTACGGAAGACTACATTTTGAGGTGCATATCTCTAAATCTAGACCAACTCTGGACAAGACGGCTTATTATGAACCTGACAATCGTCTTCAAGGTCTTGCACAAATTATCATTCTCAGACAGTGAGGACACGCAATTCTCACCGGAAGTCTGTTACGATCTGCGTGACCAAACATGCACAGTGACAATAAAAGCCTCCAAATCACCACTTCGCGAAACCTTCACATTCATGTGTCCTGAATATGGAACAGCTTACCCTAGAAATCAGAACCTGCACCTCTGTTATAAGCTCCAGACGCTCTTCGTACAAATTATTGCATTCCACTGACTACATAAACAATAAGGATGCACTATTTGTTTGTAGAAACAATCACACATTGGAACCATTACATATCTAAAGAACGCGCGAAAATTCACTAACTCCACTGCACAAACGATAGGCAGATTAGTTGCATAAATATGTGAAAAGACAAGTAGAATATCAATACATATACGTAGTAGAGAGAAATGTACAGCACATAAATGTAGAAACATTAAGGTGCTACTTATGTCCACACACCCCGTCTTTTTCCGATACTTTGCTGCTTGCCTCGTCTCTCCCATTTACCTTGTAGTGGAAGTCGCACAGACCTACAGTATGACTGAAGTTAAACAGGACTTGAAGACACCTACGTACATATACCACATCATTCTTCAAGCTGTTGCTTCATAATAACTTAACGTCCTTAAAAGTTCCCGGGTTGCCGAATGAGGACGCTGGCTGACATTCTGTACGAGTAGTTTTCATGGTCTAAGATGAAGACACAACTTGTTTCCAAACGGTTTTCCACATCTTAATCAACTGACACGCACAGACTCATGCAGCTACAAATGGCGGTAACGGACGACTTCGGAGAACTATCAGCCATTTTTGGTGCAGGAAAACAATTCCACATGGCTATGCCTGATATTTGTCTGCATGAAGTGCAATTCACTCCTGGTGTCACCGTACGATGATACTTCTGAGAAAATGATACAAATGTACTACCCATCTTAAATTAACACACTATCTGTCTATAAATCAAGAATAAGATTCGATGCTGTACACAGCAAAGTTATATGGGAGAATCGACATCAATGTTTATATTTTCCTGGGTATTTATGCTACCTATCCAGTGCAGACCTGGAATTTCGTTGATGCGAAGATAATATTTCTATATTCCATAATGTGCTACATTGACTCACTGGATAGCAGACTGTTCCTACTGACTAAAACCGAAAGGAACGGCAGCCATGTATATTCCCCATTAGCAGAGTTTATATGCTCTCAATAGTAAAATCTGCATGACTGAAGAATCGGTATGTTCCTACATCTATATAAGTAAATATTGTTGCCACATTAGTATCATGATCAGTGAAGTACTTCATATGTTATTACAGTTCACGTCTAAAACTCAAATAAATAGTTTTATAAATACGGAATAACTTTGTTAGCTATGACGAATACAGAAGTGATTGTGTGCTGAAAGTTGGTCATGAGAGTGGATATGTTCTCACATATTTAGTAACGTAAAGTTAATGCTGCATGAATGCAACATACTTCTCAATGTTAGCATGTTGCGACAACTTAATCACTGATATGAGTGTAATTGGCTATGATTTAGAAAAATAGACCATGGTGAGAGGAAATAAGGTGTTAAGACTAACCTCAACGTAATTAATCTACCTTGGAATTCGCATTAATTATGTGAGAAAGTTAAGTCAATTTCTCACTGTCCCTCCAATCTAATTATCTGTCGTCCTACGATCTTTCCAATTCGTCACTTCACATTTCAATCTGTCGAATATCCTAGGTGGAAAATTTCAATTATAGAGTATTCCTTGCATATGATTTATCTCTCCCTATATTTGCTGTTTGTCTCTTCAAGTAATAATACGCTGGTACAATTTCACACATTTTACTACGACTTCACGTGACTTTCGGAAAATATAGGAAATCTCATTTTTACGTCTGTAAATATTTATTTCTTATTATTTGTTCATTGCATTATCATGTAACGCATTCACTCGAAGCAATGCGGTACTGTTCCCTCATATATGTAATTTTGTATTGTAAATCAGCAAGCGTGCGTCGGTGGCACATGTGACAGAATTCTCGCCAACCACACATGTGGTCCTGGGTTCGATACCCGGCCGGTGCACTCCTTCACCTCGCTAAGCCAGTAAAAAGACTGGTAGAGACGGAATGTTGGGTTTAAGCCTAGCAACCCAATCCTGTAAAAATAAATACGACTGCTACTGAAACATCAAAGCTCTAGCTTGAAGCCCTCACTGTGTTCCACTGGGGAAGTAAAGGAAAAATAAATCAGCAGGCATGACTTTATAAAATGTAAGCTGTCTAGGCCTGTGTGTAATTGTTTATGATTATGAGAGATAAAATATACTTGTAGCACCACCCAATTTTTAACACCTTATCTCTTTGTTTTCTTAGCTGGACGTATCTAGTGTGGGACTTATTTTCTATAATGCACCCCAACTATATTTACTAATCTGATTTCCATAAATCAACCAAAAGTTGTATATCTTATCCATCGAAAAAATTCTTTTTCTTCGTCTAATAAAAATTCACATATAACAAGAAATGGACAACAAAAACAATAAGAATTAACATCAGTGTGCATATGTACAATGTGTTAGTGTGTGTATGTATGTATGTTTGGATGTTTATACAGTAAAATCAAGGCAGATTAGTGATTCGTCATAGTCACAGGTGGATAACTGTAGGTAGAAATAGTAATGATATATTCATAGCATAGTACAAGAATAATAATATTGTCAAGAAGAAAGAAAATGAAAACCACATCATTTCTTTTCTGTTTATTTACGCGAGGATCTAAAAACATCTTACCTCTCATCTAGATTATTTGTTGAGAGGTTTTATGCACTGATATGCACTGTGTATTCATTTGATAGAAAGACTAAACAAATGAGTGAATTCATATCCATTGATCTCTTTTGCATATGTATATATTTGTATTGATTTACGCAAATATAAACAAATTTGTTTTAAACATAAAAAACTATTTTTTCAGATTTACGCTGATTTAATTGAGATACAGTTTTTTGCTCATTCTCACAGTAACTGTTACTTATGACTTGGGGATTACAGTCACGCAAAATTGGCCCGCGAATAAGAGAGAATGTGTGTAACATTTAGGCATTTAAAACCTCTGAAGTGAGTAAATAAATCCATGGAATATACATAGTATTCGTAAAAAAATTTGTAGCACTAAGCACAAAAGAATTTTATTTAAGCGCATCATGTCTTTCCTTCGAAAGGATAGGAGGATTGTAAAACAATGAATGTGAAATGTGCAAATGTGAATCTGATTATAAATTAATCTAGCATAGTGCCACCAGATATTCAAGTACTTGGAAAGGACGTAAATTTTTAAAAAGATTTTATGCTACTTACAAGTAGTTTGCACTACTACCATAAAAAGGTAGACGTATTATATTGTACAACTCGCTGACAGGTTTTCAGCTTTTGTGAAGTTTAGGAGGTAGTAGTTCACTTTTCAACTGATAATTTTAGTGGAATGACACATATGTTACCCATTCTCAGGTTGTTTAGTTATTTTATCGAGTGTTTATAGTTTGTAATTCTGTTTTTAAAATTTCATTTGTATTTTTAGTTTAAACACGAATTAGTTAGATCTCGTTTTTTGTAAAATTTCCAATTTTTCATAAATAACTGGTAACATATACTATTTGAAGACATTTGTTTGATTTCATTGCGTAAGTCACTGTTGAGAAAAATAGAATGTTCCACAACTGCTTTATTATACACACGCCTCAATATAGGCCAAAAGTAATATTCTTCAAATTTCATGTGGGCTGCACGATCGATTATGATACTGGCCATTTTAGTATCATTGGAAAGAAATTGTCTGAATGTTGCCGTTTTTAAGTTGCCCATGAGACCATAGTGAAAGTCATTCTGTGAACGGATATCTTCCGGTGAATAAGTTGGAAGATACTGCCTTAGGATGAAAGAAGCTTGTCTTAACTTTTGTAACGATGGACATTTAATATTTAAATAATGGAATAATTTTATAATTCTTGGATGTTGAAGCCAATGATACTTCTGTTCATCTGTCCATCCGATAATATGTTGTAGACCTTCAAATAAACTATAATATATTTTAGTTTTCAATCGTGTTTCATGCAGTTTAACCAATAGTTTATCATCGCTATCATTACCAACAGCATTTATTTCAAATGAGGATTTAAAACTCAGAGAACAATTATTAACTCTTGAATTGGTTTTATAATATTGCTTAGTTGTTTGACGCCATTTATAATCTAAAAGCATTAACCACTGATCTAGTAGTTTTGCTATTGAATGTGATGATAATGATTTGTTATTAATGTTATCGTAGTTATTACTATTTTTATTCATTAATGAGCACTTTTGAACAATAGCTGAAAGCTTTTTAAAAGCTTGTCTGTATTTGTCTAAAGTTTTAAAGCTCATAACTAATTCAGTTTGCACAAGTTGTACAAGTTTAGTTTTCAATGTTTCACAGTGTTTATAGTTTTCTTTATAATGTAGTGAATGGAAATAGGAAGCAGGTGCCTCCAAAATAACTACTTGTTGTGAACCTACTTTCACCGTAGACCTTGATGAAGGAGAAGATGAAGATGTTATGGAAGGGCTGTTTTGAGAGTTTGACTCATGAATACTTTTGTCTGTTGTAGTGACAAACTGATTTAAATTTTCGGTATGAATTGAAATAAATCGTTGATAATCTGGAGTATTACTGTATGTTTTATTATAAGCTTTCACTAAACTTGGTTGAACAGCATAAACTTGCCAAGTTGCTTCAGGTTGCCATAGCCAGTGTGTCCAACCAGAAGCTAATGTATTCGACTCTTCATCAGCTACGTTTAAAGTCGGATATCTTCTGCTGAGCCCAGTTGTCTTCTTGAAAAGACTAGATTCAGGAGATTCCGATGACATACTGTTGATATCGCCTTCGAATGATTCATGTTCAAAGCCTATTCCGTATCTTGATACTCTTAAACGCCATTCACAGTTATCCGTAATTGTCTGGTTGATGATACGCTGTGTAAGTAAGATAAAAAAACACTGACGATCATGATAACAAAGTTACATATATATTCCAATTCTGAGACCTAAAGTTTAATTGATGTCTAGCGCACAAAATAAACTTTCACAAAACCAGTTAGTTGCACTGTTACTGGACGGTTCAAGTACTATGTACTGCACATGTTCTGCTGATGTATTGGTTTAAGATATATAGCCTCAATGTTCCGGATGCGCCAACAAATTATTCTCACCAAAATTTATTCTCTTTGTTCCCTTACTTTTGTTATACAACCTTTCACGATTTCTGGTCATGTTATTTTCATCTTTACTGTTCTCTGTTACTTTCTGTCACAAGGAGCATATATGACATATGGAACTGCTACGTTTGCTATCTCTAAAATGTGAAATGTCATTCAACGACATCCGAAAACTACCCGTATATGAACACCGCTAACTATACAAGACTGTCTGCATCCAGAGGCAATACCATTTAAATAATATTGATCTCTTCACAAGTGTAAATGATACACATCATCACTGAAAAAGTGCTAAAATCTTGGAAAACTAAATTTAACAGCTGAGGTATAATATGAATCCTGCATCAGATGTTTCTATACCATTGATTTTCTCTTGAACATTGTTCCTAAGGTACACTTGAACGAAGTCTATTAATGTAACCCATGTTTTTACGAGACAGTATCCTGTTCGGATAATCCCTTCCAACTCACCGTCTACTTTATCACTGACAACAGAGCTCTGAAGAAATTTCAAGTTTGTCATGAAATATTCACCTCCTTCCTCAACAACCTTTTTAAAATTCATCTTTGAAAATCAATCAGGTAGTTAGTTTTTATAATTCAAGTAAATAGTCCCATTATTTAAATAATTTTTCATAAAAACATATTAAATTACCTCTGCGTAAACTGTTCCGTTCGGATACATACAGATGCATATATTTTTAGCAAATTTACGGAGAATTAATCTTGATCCATTGCGTGGATGCAATAACATCAATAGCTGTTCTTTATTCATTGACGCTGACCATTTTACAATAACTGAAACTGTAATCATAGCTGTTTGGATGAAAAAGAGAAAATACAAAACATCTATGATGTATTAATTGGAAGTTAAGTCACGCAAAATATATTGTGATGGGCTACCTATAAACAGGTTTAAGCAGTACGTCGAGTAACATGTTCAGACAAGCAATGGTAATTTGTGTTTAACTAGATTAGGCCAGAATTAGGTGACAATACTGGGAAGAATCCAATAAGAAGCAGGCAAATTAAGTATTCTGAATATCGGTCAATTGCTCCGTCAGTATAAGGTTTATGATCTTCTTTATGCACATTGTATTTTGTCACAGTAAACATTGTTTCTGACAGCACCAGTCTTGTTTAATCCATTATAACCCAGTGAATATCATTTGGAATTCCCAGTAAAATTTCAAATCACTTTCAAAGTCGATTTCACCGCTTTCAGTCATTTGTGACAAATGACTTTGATGCTTCAGCAAAGTCATTAGAGATTTCTTGAACCAATATAGATTAACTTTACAGATCAACCTAGTAAATTATTACTTCCTTTACTTCATCATCATTAAGTATTCAGATAAAAGAGTTTATTTGTAATCTTTCCTTGACAAATTATTGTGTTCTAGAAATATCAGTGTACTTGTTCAAGGTTTCTTATTTAAACTTCACTGTTAGTTGATTCATAGACTCATTTGTTTGCTTACCTTCTTCTAAATCTTCATTTTATAACCCTACACTAAATTAAAAGCTTATATCAGAGACTTATTTTAACGCAAATCTTTAAAATGCATTGCAGAATACCAAAGACTGGAGATTTGTTTGCTGGTCATTCGTTTAAATCAGTCACACCTAAAATAGATTTTAAGAAATTGTTTAATATCCCCTAAAAACTAACTTGGTAATAACGTTTTTCATAATATCTCTGTATCTTCTATAGTTACATAGATTTTTTCTATGTAAAACTGTCAGGGGGATGAATTAAGGAATTGAGTTTGCGAATACCTGTGAAATGATGAGTATATTGTTTGCATACCTGGACCGAAGACAAGCAGGTAGTACTTATCGATAGAAGCTGTTTCAATTTTCCATGCTAAATCAAGAATATATACGAATATTTGCCAATAGATCACGTTTTTAGACACCACCCGTTATGGTTACGCAAAAGATTGACTAAAGGCATGTATATCTCACGTTATTGATACGGGAAAAGAAGTCAACGCTACCAGAGCTTTAAGAGTTATTTATCTTTTTTCATCTAGCTTCTTCTATGCTCTCCAGTCCTACTTTAACATTCAAGAGGGACAGTTGGGATTTAATTGAATGATCCGAATCTCTGGGTTCAAAAGGAATTCGTACACACTCTCTACCATGGCCATCTACATAGCATCTTGTAGCTGTTACAAAAGATATATGTAACATATTGATAACATTTCCGTTATTACACTATTTATTTGATCTTAATATTTGTCTTTTCTCACGTAATTAATAACCAATTCATTCACAAGTTTTTCTTAATTAATATTATCTTATAAGCTATCGATTATGCAGTATCCTATGATTAGCTTTCACAGATCTGTATAATTATGTTAGATTGCCCAATCCTTTACAACAATATTACTTTGATTTGCATAATTATTATTACCCCTCCTATACTTTGAAATGGATATTTCTTACTGAATAGCACAACAGTGTTCGATACAATGTCTTAAAAAGCCACATATTAATGCAGAGTCGTTGATGAAGAACTAATTCAAAAAGGAATACATGTCTTCGTTCAGTTTAGTGTCTGCTAAATTTCTTAACTGTTCTTGTATGAAAAGATTTTTACGTAACACCGACTAGGAAAAAGTCTGTTAAACACTGAACTGTAACAATTTATTGTTGATCAGTATAACTGGTACTGTGTATATTTATGTCATTTATACTGTAACAGTATTATTTTCATACAAACACACCAAATAGAATTCACTATACTAACACAATAATGTAAAGGTAGCAATTCTGTGACTGAAAATATGCCATTTTACAATAGACTGTCAATTTTCAAGTAGTAAGAACTGTAAAAGCGCAGTATAAGTTCTTAAATAATATCCTCAATGATTATTAGATATGACTACGAAATTAAGTGCTGCCTTAATTCTAATTAACCAGGTGAACATCTCTGGATAACCAATTCAAACGACTTAGTATTCCTAACTCAGATTATTACGATAATTGTTCAGTATTCATTTCACCCAATTTTACATCCCTTTCTAACATCTACACGTTCTGTGAACTATTCTGTATGTGACATTATTTATTTTACCACTTGATATTTAACTATGATTGTAATCACAAACATTTTAATTGGATTTCATATTATTATTATTGATATTTTAATTATGCATACCTTGGTTTAAATTTCCCCACGGGATATAATTTATTTACTCAATAAATTCGTGGAATAGCTCCCCTTCGCTAAATGGTGTGTTCTTGTTGTTGTAATGAGAATTAATAAATTAATTTATAAAATATTCCATGAAATATATAATTCTCAAAGTGGAATGTAGGGATAATAAGTTTAGAAGTTATTTAAGACGTTACAAAAAGTGACAGTTATGATAAGGCAACATTACAAAAACCATAATATATCTCTATTATTATTATTAGGGAATTAACTAAACAAGGTTGACAAGTGAGATAATACCGGAAATTCTTCAAAATGAAATTAATAATAACAATCAAGATAGTGAGGGAAGGATACGCAAACTGAATAAATAAAACGTAAAATAAATTAAGTCAAACTAAGAGTGGGAATTATAATATTTCAGCGTATTCGGGCTATGAAAGGAGTGACTGAACAAACTTTTTCTGTACACAAGGCTTTGGTGTTTCTATATCGATGCCAAAAGCTTCAGCGCTACATGTAAGTCGGATCGTAGCGATTTTCGCAGGTTCGTTTACGCTTTGTAGAACTTTGTAGACTTTAAAAGAAGAGGCCGTAGAAATAAGGTGACAGATACCGACTAGATTTTCAGTTATTGCACTTCTTATAGCTCCACTTTAGCCTCTTAATGACTATGCAGGATAGTGTTCTTGCACCCTCTTGGACAAAACCTACATCCGACGATCGATGTACCCAGCTCTACAAGAGCAGTGAACTAATTAACGCATAAAGAGTTGGTCAGCTATGGGATTGTGTTACTGAACAGTAACCGTTGACTGTAAAACACTATTCCCAACGATGTTGCAGCGAATGTTCTTTTCAGGGACAATGTGATCCTTCTTTTATTGATGTCAGTAGCTCTATTTATTTTTCATTCTGTTTGCTCAACTTGTATCTCCTCGATTGTTGTCTTTAATTTCCGGTATTATCTCACTTTTCATCCTTGTTTAGTTAATTCACTAATAGTAATAATAGTATTATGTAATAGTTTTTGAAATACTGTCTTATCACAATTATCACCCTTTGTAACATCTTAAACAACTTCTAACCTTATTACTTCTACATTCTGCATTATGATTTATAAATTTCATGGAATATTTTATGAATTAATTCATTAATTCCCATTGCAATAACAAGAACATACTATTTAGCGAAGGGGAGCTATTCCACGAATTTATTGAGTAAATAAATTATATCCCGTGGGGAAATTTAAACCAAGGTATGCATACTTAAAATATCAATAATATGAAAAGTGATGCAATTTCATAAAGCTTTTGATAACACCCATGGGACACATTTATGCATGATTTCGAGATCATAATCACTGTATTATTATGATTCCGTTGATTTCGGAGTGAAACATAGGGCTTTTGCTGCACTTTTCCAAATAATCCTGTCCACTTCATTCCTCTTAAACTAGCTGCACGATTTTCCATAATCTCTCATCCCTTCCTCATATGATCTCTAACACGGCACTCCCGGAAGCCCAAATCGCCCTTACTTTTCGGTTTCCACTCAAAGGACTGACGCGCGACTGCGCTCTACGGTCTCCTCAGCGTATTTGACCCATCTCCATTTCCTTCAGAATATTCGTTAGGCAGAAGGTTGTTGGTTGGTTTGCTGTCATACCTCCTTCTTCACAATCTCTTATGGTCATCCGATAGTCAGTATGAAGCCAACGAAGGCAGCACTTGACATAAGTCAGCATCAGACTGTTGTAAATGCTCTCCGTGACTCGCTCACCTTATTTCTGGCCAATATAGAAGAACTGACTTCACGTCGATATTGAAAATCCGAATCTTGTTGTTTATGTTGAGTACAGAAGATTTCCAGAACACTGATTTCAGATTGATGAAGGCGTATCTTGTCTCTCCAATTCTGATGGCTTTGACATTTTCATCCGTTCCACCTGTGGTTGAAACGATGCTGCCTAACCAGATAATTGCCGGAAGTGATATCTTTCAAATTTCCCTCGTTGATGGTGATTAGTGCTGGTTGTGGTTGCTGTTGCTCTCGCTGTTGGTCAGTTGGTTATATTTATCCCCTCTGTCTATTCTATGTTCACCTGGAGTCTTGTCTTTACTGCCAGCTTCTTCAGCCACCTTGCTGGTTTTCGCCTTCAAGTCTTCGAGTTTGTGTGACAATAAACACAAGTCATCGGTGAAATCCAGATCTCCTTGAGTCTTCCACCGGTCAGTGCAACATTTTCTTGTCTTCTCACTCCCATTGCACAGCCTGACTCATGATCAAGTCCACCACAATTAGAAATATCAACTGAGATAGTAGGCAGTGTGTGGCCTTACTCCCACCTGCACTTCAACGGCTTCGTTCAGTCTCTTCTTACGGATCACTGGACATGTGGCACTGTCATATAGCCATGGTTGAATGAGGTTGATAAAGATTTGGGCACTGTACACCACAGTGTTGAAGTAGTTCCCAAATTACTTCTCGGTCAACGCTGTCTGTCAGAGGCCTTTTCGAAGTCGATGAAGTGAAGATGCAGATTTGACTGACATTAAAGGCTCTGCTCGATGACGATGTGTAGAGTTGCAGATTGATCAGCATGTGGTTTATTTTACGTGAACCTAGCATTCTGTCGTCGGTGGGGCGAAGT